TCGCGTACTGCGGCGTTAACAAACAATATCAGCTTGAAACTTGGTTTTGATTTTGTTGACATCGAAGGAAAGAACTCACACAGGAGAGCCTCTGTTACTTGAGATTACAGGGGCAGGTGGTAAGGAATGTAACGGATATGGTTCTGTCTAATCTTATCAAGTGATTTGATTACGTTTCACTCGTCACTAGTACCCTCTGTAACCGAATCTTTGTAATTTGAAGCTTCACCACCTTGACCAACGGATAACAGCGCATCTTATCAGCCCCCTATCAGTCGTTATGGCTTTTGTTACCCACCGTTGGTGTCCCCATCTCACCCTCTCTATCACCTGCCATAACCAACGCCTCGCTGACGCTGTGACCTGCGATGTAAGTACAGTAAACTCACCATTCTATCGCCTGTTATCAAATCTTATCGGCTGCTGGCACTTCTTGCCAATCACCAATGATATTCGTGAACCATACCCTATATCATATCTTAGAGCCAAGGTCCCAGTGTTTTGCTGTGATCTACGCCAAAAATTTGGCAACCGTCCCTTTCTGAGACCCCTTGTCGTATCTTGTCAGGTGTTATAACTTCTTATCACCCGACAATTATGTTCTCGTTTCTCCAGCAGGGCATACCATCATTGTGATAATCACAGCAGGGGTCGTATTTGCGCTATGAATTTCGTGACAGCCAGACAGACAGACACACACACACACACACACACACACACACACACACACACACACACACACACACACACACACACACACACACACACACACACACACACACACACACACACACACACACTTAGCGGATTATATATAGTAGGGATAGCAGCGATATTCAAAAATAATGCGGAACGATCAAGCAGAGCTCCCATTTTTTATGGAACAACAATGTATCTTTGAATTCTGCTCTTTCTAATCCATATTCGCTCAAAAGATATTTAGGGCGGTTGCTTAAAGAGTTGACCTGTGAAAAATCTCAAGCTCTGAAGTAACTTAAAAATTCACCAACTTGCTCTTCGAAGGAATGGGACTTGCTCGCCCGGCTGGAAACTAGAAAATTATTAAGAAATCAGCTGTCTTGATTTCTGCAGACTAGATTTCAGTCGCCTCTTTCCATTTCCGAGCAGTATTCGTGCTTTTTACTGTTGTCAACGTCTAACTATTATTGTAACTTCTAACATTCGTTATGATTGCTGACGATCGCCATGATCCTGATTCCAGCTTTACTTTGATTTCACATCGTATTCATGCATACCGCCAAAGCTGAATAGTTTGGCTTTTTCTTGTGGAAGACATCACTCTTTCTCTCACTAATATTGGCTTGAATCGCAAGCTTCTTCGTACGATAATGCAATGTCTACACAGATGGCGCGGTCGAAATTCTACCACGAATACGGAACTCAATCCAAAAACGCTTGCTTCTGGTTTAGACGATTATCCAAGAGCAAGCCATCCATCTGACGAGGTAAGTCTTTTTTTATCTTCCAACACTGCCGTGGTTCTATAATTGCCGTTCGCACATATCAGGAATATCACCTTGATCTTCGTTGTTGGATGGCTCTGGGTAGTCGAGTTATGGACCGACTAGCTCATCTGTTCGAGGAAGAGAAATATAAGAATAAATACACAGATCAGGCATCTAATCTGGGTGACTTCGACGAACTTGTCCGCCTTCACTGGAGTGATAACAAAAAGGTAGCACGAGTTCTTCGCAATGTGCTTCATTCAAATTGCTTGTTCTTAGGAATTTTTGCTTGCGCTGCCTTCAGTGTAGTCATCAATTCAGGATTAGATGTTACACTTTACTGAAAAAATTAGCATTGATGCATGAATTACAAACAAGAAAAGTGACGAAACAAGTCAACATAAACCTTAATACAAGGGCGAATCTTCAATTTCCAAATTATCGATGCGAGACACATCCCGGTTCCTTGAAGCACGCTTGATGTTAGTGCACAGTAGGTGTAGTCCACAGTCCGAAATTCTTCTTCAGCTGCGGTCATACCCCTCGACGTTTTGAGCGTTGTAGGAGAAATGCCAACATTTTAAGCGAGAAAGAATACAGGGGGGGGGGCAAAAAAAAGTCACTTTTCTTCCTTGACTTTCGAGGCGCTATAAGTTACACTTTATTAAATTCTGATCGGACATTTCTACCACCATATTAAAGAGCATATTAAATACTATTATGATACTCCGCCACAGCCTTCTGGAGGAGCGCCATCGAGAGATTCTGCCACGCGACCGTGATTCGGTGCCTGAGTTCAGCGAGATCGTTGATTTCTCCGCCACTGTAGACCACCCTGTTGAGCTCCGCCCGAACCGGGTAATTGAGGGGTTTAGGTCAGGTGACACGCTTAGATATTCCATCTTCTTCAGGTACTCAACGCCCTTCCATTCCAAGTAGGCGAGAGTTTTTCCAACGCCCTTCGATTCCATGTGGTGGCACCCAAACCTGTAGCAGTACAAAGTTTCCAAGAAGGTACGACGACATGTAGGGAGGATATTCTTCTCGAGTTGCTCGATGTAACCGCCAGCGCTCACCTTCAGTCCGGGGTCCACGAAGAAAATATCGGTCTTTCCATTCCAGGTACGTCCGGTCCATACCATCAACCCGCGCCTTGGCGACTGCGGTGAAGATGATGTCCTAGACCGTGGCGACGTTGTCGGAGCTGCTCGATGTTGGAGGTCTTCCAGATTGAGAGTACTGGTCTCCAGGTAGCTATCCATGGGTGACTCCATACTAGAAGTTTCGCAGCTGTTTGGAGGTGACATGAATTCCAAAGGTGCGACTGGAGATGACTTCATATTTTGGTGTACATGAAGGTGATGGGCGAGAGCCAGCTCCTTATCGAGGAACATCTTGGGTATCTTCCGCCCTGGTACTCGTATCCACGTCCTCTGTCTGGGCTGCGAAAACTTTGCTGATATGTGACTCGGTCGAAGTGATTTTTTTTGCTCCCACCCTGACATCGATTTAGCGTTTTGGGCGAAACGCTCAGAAAGTAGAGAAGAAGTATGAACGCGGCATTCAAGGGATTAATGGCATCTTTGCAAACTGCTGTTTGAATATTTGTTAGGGTTTCTTCGATTATGGGCTACATAGCGGAAATGTGAGTCTCATAAGGAAGCCTGTTCAAGGAACTCCGGACAGATATGTCTTTGAAAGGTACGAAAAGGATAAGTTTCGGATATGTTTCAGTTTTTATATGAGAAATGTCGCTGCTAGTCTAGTTATGTTCAGCCGCACATTTACATTGTTTGTGTTTCAGATCGGTCTTTGCTCCAAAGATATTGGGCTTTGTTGATGACGTGTTCGGATATAACAGCTTGTTTCCGTTCATGCTTCGACTACTGCCGCCTGAATCGGAAACACTCTATCATACTCTAGCAAGAATTGTAGACCCTGAGGTATGTGAATAATGGTCATTGTGGGAAGGATAAGTACATTATCTCTGAATTTAAGTTCTTATGGACTCAATATGGTCTTCGCTCGATTGCTCGAACTTCTCCGTACTATGCTGCCAGAAACACTGAGCATGATCCACCTTATTGGAGGGGGTAAGCGATGGTGTTCTACAGTTGCCATGTGCTGTTGTTTTCGCTTCATTTTTTTCGAGCATCAAGAGCTTTCGAGTAAGCGTTTGTGGGATTTCTGTGCGAAACTTGGATTACGGTAGGGCAGTTGTGGTTTTTCGGTGGAAGACAATTTGTACACTCACCTTACCCCAGTCCTTGCCTGTGTGAGGGGAATGGTTGATGGGGCTGCATTAATGTTTCTTTTTCTCCTCTCAAAAGTAGACGCGAACGGGACTGGAGGGTAGTGCTACCACAGAGTCGTTTCCAGACTTTCCCGCAGACGCTCGACGAGCCACATGCTCAACTATAGTCAAATGCCTTGCTTGTCTGCTTCCTCTCACTTGTGGATTTTCTCTACTGCTGTGAGACTTTAGAATCGACGCAACTGCTGAACCCTGAGAATCGCGCGTGTGGAATCGGAAGACGCACCCGGGTATCACTCCAGCCCTGTTTCTATGTTACTATTGATCGGAGAAAACGGCGCTACTACAGCTGCGGACTTGCTCACTTCACACCTTGCAAGGATCAGGATTCACGTAGAAGGAGAAACAGTGCCTTTGTATCCTGAGGAGGGTTGGAGGAACTGCGGAATGAGCCAGTTTTAATACAGTGGTTTTTTGGAAGACGTTTCAGCCCAAGTAGTCCTAAATGCCCTCTTCAAACTTGAAGCAGCCATTTTCCCGTCGTTGAGAGACTGTGAAGTCACAACCCACATGTTTCAGGTATATTTGGATCAACATTAATTATATGGTTCTTTCGGCGTTGAAGTATTATGGATCTCTACCTGGACCTAGTCAGTCTACTGCCCAAAGCACTTTCTATGAGCTCAAAAAGAATCTGGTCACAAACATGGCTAAGGTTTGTAAATGGTTGACTTTGATAGTGAGTTAACTAAAAAGCTTTTACCGTTCACAAAAGAAGAAAATTGGCAGAGAACGAATGAACAGAACTGTTTGTTCTCTTCATGGTGTAGCCTTCCTTTTCACTACGTACTTGTCCTACAGACTACATCCTGCGGCGAGCGACGTTTTTCGTCATGAGTAAAGCCCTTTTCCTATCCTTTCGATATTGCTGAGTTATTTATTTCCACGTCTTGTAAAGGGTTAGAAGGAGTCACATGGTTTGCGGACTCTCTCCTATATCGCTTTAACATTTAAGCAGCTGTAATGGCTTATTTTAAACTGATATGCGTAGAAATTCTGAGATACACAGCGCGTCCACAACCTAGTATCTAGCGCATGCGCCAATGATCAAATCACCACTTAATCGCTCCCCTCCTTCGATACTCACCATTCTTCCTTAGGCGGCCATGGGAGACGGTCTTTGGTTCTCGCGACAATCTGCAGTCACCACGGGCTTGCGAAGAAGCGCACGCTCGCGATAAACTCATTGCGTTATTGATATTAGATTTGTTCGCCTCAGTTTTCAGCCACGCTCTTCACTCCGGTAGGACTGGATCGTCATGACAAAACCTAACTGTACTAGAGTGATTGTCGCAATTACGGTGCGGAGAAGGCTGCACAGATTCTGGTCACGAGTAGTGAGCTTACTTGCTGGTCTCTGATCATTTGCCAGTAACAGTGCGTTCTGGACAGCATACTCTCGGCGACTGTACTTATTGTCGTACTGCTGAAGTATGACAGTCAGTCCTGTTGAAAACAGTAACGACATGTCGGTGTCGCAATAGCGAAACCACCGCGAGCGCGCGTTGATCCTAACAAAAGGCATTTGATATTCGCGCGCGACCTATCCCTATTGTCACCTTCCGGCGGCCAAGAGCGTTGTGTTCTTCATGGCTGACTTCTGAAAATCACTCTGTAAGGCAAATATGTTCTCGAAACCCACTATGACTCGGGTGCATTACACATGACGGGACAACTAGTCGAACGTATTCTCCTTTTTATATGTTCGAAAATTTTTACAACCTCGCCACTAAGACTGTCTAAGCAGCAGTGACATTGTGTGCTTTTTCTTAGGAAACGCCGAAACACTGAAATATCCCTACAGGCTTATGTACTGCTATTACAGGAGTTCAATCGAACTGGCTACATATGGGAACATTATGATGACAAGACTGGGCAAGGTCGTGGTTCTCATCCCTTCAATGGGTGGAGTTCGTTGGTATTGATGATTATGGGTGACAACATGGATGCTTTATAGTGAATTATTCGACTGTGATATTATTTTCTTGTTCATTTTTTCTGACTGTGATCACCTTTTGTCAGTCCTGCCTTATTTAAAATTATTTATGTATTTGAGTGAGCTTCAAGTTTTTAGCATGGCTGTTTTTTGCTCTAGGTTACTATGCGTTGTTTGGTGAAATCTTGTCTTTTGTCGGGTACTCAGGATTCTTTGTGTATTGTTGAAATACTATATTCATTAAATGAAGCGTACTGAGTAATGACATGTTAGCCCTGTAAGGTTTAATCCTTCGCGTATATTTTCAAACAGTCTTTTGTCGACCACAGACGGACCAGTGTTTTTTTTCCTAGTAGAACTTCCGTCATCTTTTGATGTTCCTGGAAGGCTCAGTTCTTTTTTTTGTCTTCCGGGGATGTTGGCTTTATCCATCTTTTCCTTGCTCCCTACCCTTATCGCTACCTCTGCGCAAATTCTCGTTTGCCGTTTCGTGGCCATCTTCTCAACTCCTGCCTACACCGTGACTAATGTCTGGTTCGTTGTGAATGATGGCCCTTTGGCGACCTTTTTTTTCTTTTGACAAGCAACAAACTGTATCATATCTTTCGTAATAGTCGTTTTCCACCAGTTGTCACTTACCCGCCTAAACAACTTAGTGAAGAATGGGTTTGGCGGTGCGCCAAACGCAGCCGCGCGGCCCCGCCCCTTATCCGCAAAGAACCACACATTCTGCGCTTATTTTCGTTTTCCATCTGCCGTTTTCAGACTTTAGTTCTCTGCGTAGTCTTCAAAGCTTCTTAACATGTATCCATTCCTTTCGACTGGGCAGTGCTCGTGACTCGATTCGCGTGCGCACATGTGGTCCTCCCCATCGCATTCTTTGTCGGTATTTACCCATCTTTTTTTGCGTTATTCTGTTGAGGTATTCAGAGCCCGTTCTCATATGGAACCATTGCCGTGCTGAACTTTCCGCTTTCATCACTTATAACGTTTTGCTTCCTCTTGTTGATAGTTTTCTCCCATCCTCTTTTTATCGCTTTCCTGCGAATTGATTTTTTTCGGATCTGTGGTGTCTTTCGCGCAGACCTCAACTGTTCTATTAAGTTGAATCTTTTTTTTTTGCTTTTGTTCGTCTTTATCCTCTCCATGACTTTGCTGCTTCAGCTCGTTTTCTGCCCCTTTTTAATCAGTTTCTATCCATTTCTCCCCTCCTTCTTTGGTACTAAAGCAGTAACTTGTTCAGAAAGGTCGGGCAAAGTGCGGTAGACGACTGTCCGTTAGTGTCGCGAAGAACGAACGCTGCCTAATTGCCGTTGTAATTTTGAAATGTGTAATCATAATCAGCTGTTCCGTGTGATATCGCCAAACGTGTTGTTGATCAAATGTTCGAATTATTTTCCATTTTCGCAGCAATCTAGCACATTTGTCAACCAATTTTAAGCTCTGCCTAGGCGAATGGGCGGGCGCTAACGTGCGAGGGCCGTTCAAAGTGTTCTCGGTATTGGGGTAATTCAGTGGTGACGAAGGAATTCAAATCATTTCAATAGGTAACGACACTCCTGAGGGTATAAATACAAAATTTCATTTAGTTATCATCAAGTGCTATTCTAGTTATCCTTGGTGAAAGAAGACCAGAATGACTGATGCGACAATGTTGAGAAAATGATTACTGGTTAAAAAATTGAGAAAAATGAAGAGGAAATTGAGAAATTGAAAAGAAAATTGAGAGAGTTATTACTTCTTGTTCCTCAAAACTAAAGAAGATCTTTTTGGAATGCGTTTTTCTGACGAATAAGAGCTGAAGGCGGCAACTAACACACATTTCTAGAGGGATTGAAAAGTTTGTTCCCCGAGCAAACAGGTGTATTGAGGTATGGGAACTGCATTGGGAAACAAATATTATTCATAATTTTCTGCCTTTTTCTTCAAGCCAAGCCGCTCTTTTCTTCAGCATGCCTATGCCTACCGAGAATATTTGAACACCCCTCGTATTGGGGTGCGGATCACTCGGCAGCACCTCTTCTAACAAGGCTTAGGCTCGGAGCCTGGGCGATCATAGTTACCGAAGGATGGCCTGCAGAGAAGACACCACTAATAGTAAGCCTAGGCTCTGATCAGGTGAGAGGACATAGAGGCGCTACCCAGTGGTGCTCACCTCCCTCCCAACTATTTTAGCGCCGGGCGACATGTCTGTAAGGGTCAGGGGTCCACTAGTAATAAGTCAACTAATTGGTAATCCAGTAATCCACTCAACTGTGTTCTCAGACAGAACCTCTCAATCTTCACTAGAGGGTTTCGATGGGGAATTCCGACAAAAGACTGGCAAATAAGCAGTGCCAGCCTTTAGCGAGCGAAGTCCTTCCGTTATCAGTTGATGGTCAGCATTGCGCAACAGACATCGATGCTTCTTTCAAGATGTTCTTATTCGTTTTTTTCCTCATAATTGAGATCGAGGTAACTTGTTTGCATCCTTTACATGAAAACAGTTTTCCAGCGTTCACAGCTGCGTGGGCTTCAGAAGTGATGTCTTCATATGACGTCATTGGAAGCGACGATGAGTAAGTTTTAGTTATCGTGATTATTTTTCTTAACTCACCTCTTTTTCTTCCACTCAACCTTCTCACATCAGTTTATGTCTTTTGGGTTATGGCTGCTTTGCGATGATGCCGTATTAGCATATTTGGGAGATTAGCCTCCGCAGATCGGCTGTCATTTATGTATTGTTTTCGAAGATAGTCTGAAGACAATTCCCGCGACCAGGTATATTGGATAGTAGCTGTTCAGTTATGAACCAGTCACTAAGTAATTCCCCAAGTAAGAAAAAAAAGCAGAAAGAGTCTCAAAAACACCATAAAGAAAATCGGTCCCTGACAGCCACACAGCTTCTTTGCAAGAGTTCTCCGGCCTTGCTGGAAACTTGACGCGCTATGGTCTCTGTGCAACCCCCGGCTCACAAATCGCTTTTTCTCATCTTTTAGTACTAAACGCCGTCCAACGTGCAAAGCAAAGAAAACGAAAAACAACAAAAACACTGGAGCAGTACTTACTGCGTACAAAAATAGGATTACGGTGAGCACTGCATGTCGAGCTTTTCCACCAACCCTTGCACCCAGTTGCAATACGTGCTCCTAATGAAGAGAAAGTAATGAAGGAGAGCAAAATTACTTATGAGCACAAGTGCGGTCAGCAAAAATGGACACTTATTAGATTTATGCTTGCCGCTCCAACAAACTACAACTGAGCGCCACTGACTTAGGTGTGAAGAGGACATTTGTTGGGTGGGCGGTCCGAATGAGCGGCTGTCTGAAATAGAACTTTTGGCGGTTTAGCATTCACTCCACTGACTGTGGAGTCGCGAAAGTGGGACAGCCCTCAGCTTGGGGCTAGATTACTTGCACAGGGAAAAATGAACTGTCGTTAAATATAGAGGCGGTCACGTGCACTACACGGCAGATTTCGAAGAATCTCTTGGGGATGTGTATGTTTAAGACAAAGATTTGGCAGTAAGTATATAGGAGCACTACGACGCAGAGGCTATTTGATACTGCTGACATGTACCTCAGCGGCGTATAGGAGTTTGAACAAGGTATCAAGCGAACAAGAATCCACGGTAGAATTTTTCGGAATGGTTGTACTCTTCGATTTGACGGAGGTTTCTCCACCCCCTCCCCCCCCCTAGGGACTACTTGGGAGAGGTGTTGTAGTGGCACATGGCACATCTACCACGCACGCGGCTCGGGTCAAACCCCGGATCGGCTACCGACCAGGCTAAGCAGGTTATTTCCTCCGAGGACGGTAAATTGGTTCCACATTCGTCTGGAAAGATAATAACACTGGTTCATCGGCTTGCACGCAGCTCATATTGTGGGCCACATCGCCCACAGTGAATCACTGCGGTTCTGAAAATTGAAGTGTAATGCATACTGCATCCCAAGAGGGGCGTGAACAGTTTCGGAGACGTTATCCTTTTTTGTCGTGGAGGGAACCACCTGACTGACAAGGGAACCCCAACAAGTCGATCCGGCCATTTGCAATGAGATGTATATATACGGGTGTCTTGAGCCGCTGAATCCAAATCTGCCCTCGGAATTTGCGGAACGATTCTCTGAAGGGAGTTGCGGACCATTTATCTCTGCTCTGTTCGCACAAGTTGGGAACGATAACTGCTTGCGGCAAGCGGCCGATGGTGTAGTGGATAAGCGCACTGCTTCAGAGACACTTGGGGACATGTTGGAATCTTCGAAACACTTCGTATGAGTCCCCAAAACACTTCTGTTTGGCTAATTTGCCTAGTTCTTTAATTATTTGACAATAGGAGGCGGCCAATTCTCCATTTCTGGTTCCTTTTGAAACTTTTATTATGAGGATATCCGTTTCTAGAGCTTGCATTAAGAAATGAGGATCTTACGGTTTAAGAGCACATGTAGTATTCTTCCACGAAATGATAGAAACAAACAAGTTCTCGCAATGAGCACAGCGAATGAAAAAGTACTCTCCACACACGGTACAGTTACAGTTCTCTCAGTCCAGAGGGACAAGCAGTACTGAATTTTGTTAATTTTGAACGAAATTCTGTCCACGTGATCTGTGCAGAATTATCCGATATGATCAGCCCTCATTATTATGATCTACCGACACGTGGCATTCCGCACAAGGAAATTGCGTTTGCTTTCTTGTTCTGTCGAGATGTTTTGCCCAAAGCTGGTACTGGCGTATCTGTTGAGGGACTTCGGTTCCTGTGAAATAACACGCGTACCATCTCGGAAGGAGCGGAAAGTAATAGACAGCTTTGGGTCCATCTTGCGGGACGCCGAACAAGACAATTTAATAATCGGCTCTGACGAGTACACCTTCAAGGGAAGATAAGGAAAACCTCCAATAGAGCCCAGAGAACGAGGATGCGGCAAGCTGAAAGGCGCTACGGAGGGTTCTTTTGTTTTTGGCGATATCGTGGTTTCTAAGGAAAAGGTGGGCTTTTCATTGAACAGTGTGGTTTACGATGCTGATTAACGGAGAAACCA